GTCAAAATTGTAATTAAACGTACATGCATGGAATACAAAAATACCGAAGAATTTTGGAATCATAGTTAATTTACCAGTGAATGTCTTTCAGTTGATAACATACATGATATTCAATATTCTGAGACTAAATTTACTAGTGCATTAAATAGGTCACAACTTTAATCATAAGTCATAGCAAAATACACATTTGTTGCTTTAAAGTAGTTCAGTGGAATTAGTGAAAGCAGCCTAGATCCCCTCATAAGCTATCTGAAGCTAAGCCAAAAATAGTGGATGTTAATTCCATTTCTATCCTAATCCTCTCTCTGCTTGTCTAACTATTTTCTGTATATTCGTAGCAAGGTATCTGCCTCAAAGTTCATGCTTTCTTATTTGCTTTCTTATTGGCTTCAGGTGCAGGTTTCCTTTGAATTTCCAAATGAAAATCTCTCAGGTCAACTCAGAATCTACAATAGTTATTTTTGAATAAAGTTACTTTCCTATAAATTATGTATTTACCGTTTAAAAAGCAAAGTTAAGCAAAGCAGTCCCCTCTGCCCATCACACACACAAAAAGTTGTTTCAGGTCCCTAAGTACCCACTAAGTCAGCTGTGTTTATATCCATGTTTCATGTGGGTAATCCGTTCCTGATTAGCTGATTCACAAAATACAATGGCATTGCATGACAGTGAAATTAGAGAGGTTCCATGTTTTGGATTGGGGGTTTTTTTGGTCATTTTTTTTTTAAAGTTTGTCACACCATTCTCAGTACCTGCCCCCAGCCCCTCCTGGGGTATGTGTTGGTGTAACCATCCAGACACTTCTGTCCTGCTCCTTCTCAGAAGTCGGCAGCTGGATGCAGTCTGTACGAGCTCACGTGGAAAGTACAGCACCTCTGGGGTGCGTACGTGCAGTGTTGTGTCTCTTCTGTAGGGACGTATATGCACATGTAAGAATTTTTGTGTACCTTGGGGAATCGGCGCCAGCCTTGCACGTGTGAAATGTAGAGTTTGGGAAGGTGGGTGTGGGATTACATGCCATTTCCAAAGTCTTAGGAAGAAGGGCACCGCGTGTGCAGGATTGCTCTGGGTTTATGCCCCGAGTAAGTTTGTGTTTCTGCGGAGGGGAGTGGTCTTCTCTTTCCTCCCTGTGCTGACGTTAGTGATCAGTGTGGCTGGATTGATGATTTGATGAAGTGAGAGCTAAGCCAGTTTAAAAAAAAAAAAAAAAAAGAAAAATCAGGGTCAGCAAGCTGATGTAGTTTGTGGCACCCTTGCATGCTCACCTGCGCTACTGTGAAATGCTGTGGTGAGGTTTGGCTGCAGCAGAGGTGAGGAAAGGCTGCATCTACCAGCCGTTGATCAGCTGCCACCCTCCGTGCAGAGCTCCACGTGCCCAAGTCTGGCTCAGGGGCCTGCCTCCACCAGCTGGGCAAATCGTGCCGGTGGTGTAAGAGCTCACAGGTCTTCTCGGAGTGGGGAAGCAATAGATGGCCTATAAATGGGGAAGCATTCAGGCTGTCTGGGAAAAAGTAACTTTGGATTTCAGCATTATAGCAAAGTGCATTATTCTAAAGGAAGCTGATGCATCTTGTTTGAATGGGGCTTTGTTTTCCTTTTTACTGGGTTTTTTTCCCCATCCTTAACTATGTCCTAAAGTATCAGGTGAGATGCTGTTTTACTTAACTGGTAATTGTTCCCATTGTTTTTAAGGTCCAAAAGTCACAGGATAATTGTTACAATTGTGTTAGCATTTGAACACTGGTCTATCTGAGCAAAGGTGTTCAAATGCTGTTGATAGTTGCTGGTTATAATGTCATATATGTATTTGTACATGTGTAATATACGTAGCAGTGGCCCATGTTTGGTCTTGATTTCAGCTTGCAGTTGGAGTCTATGTGGGCAGGGCAAAAATAAACCTCTTCAGAGTTCTCTTCGAAGGTTGCATTGCAAACATCACACTGGATGTTGTTTTCAGTGATGTCAATATATTTGGACTGTTTCACTCACCTGAATGTGTTTCTTCATATTCAGGTGATGAATCAATCTCAGATTGCATCACTTCTTCCAGTTACAGAGGTTTCTGCAGCAATGCTACACAAAGAAAGCCAATAGAGGTCTTGGCATCTGTGTATATATACATATTTGAACCTCGTAAACTCGTGAGACAGCTCTTCAAAGTTTGCACTGCCTTATATCATTTGTAACAGGATATGTTTGAAGCTTCCTTTCACCTGAGACTCAAGATTTGTGGCTGAGGATTTCCATTAGTAAATGTTGTTTCATCCCAACAACAGAGAGCCTTTGCAGGTGTTATCTTTTGAAGAGATTAAATGTAAGGTCTTCACCTTGCAGACAGCTATGCTCTGGTGTTTAATCCTATTGACTCCTTTGAATTCTATGTGGCAGACTATACCCATATGTGTAAGTGGCTGCAGGATAGATAACATGCTGGAGGAGATGAGCGAAGTGTTTTAAAACTGTCATTTTTCCCAGTTCTTGCTTGTCTTCTAAGCGTTGAGTGAGATTTTGTGAGGGCTTTTGAAAAACATGCAGAAATACATTGATGGCCAGCCTGGCAAGAAGTGGTTGCTTTTGACTGCAGCTGCATTCAGCAGTGCCTGTAACACAGGAATCTGAGATTCCATTCCTGGAAGAAAAGGTGCTTTTGTGTTGTCCTTCGATGCCACCAGCCTGTGGAGTCCCACAGGCCAGAGGGGCTACGTGGCATACAGAGCAGGCTTGGTGCGGGTTGAGTCTGTAATGAGTTTAACTGCTAACTGAACAAGCACGTATGAAGGAGAGGAAACTGCCTTTTTCTTCTGCATACAGTCCAAATCTGAGCGAACCCTAATGCTAGAGGATATTGCTACCAATCAAAAGTCTCTACTACACAGCCCACAATGAGAAGCTTCTCAAAGAAGTGATTGCAGATATTGTTATTTTTTAATGTTGTCTTGCTCAATTTAATTTCATTATGGAAAACAGACAATGCAAGTGGATTTCAGGTGATGGGAAAATTGCGACCTGAACTATTAGCTTGCCAAAGTTAACAACGAAAATGGAATTACAAGTGTGAGCACTGATAGCTGTCTGGATCAGCAGCAGAGCTCTTAGTTTGTGGATGGAGCAAAAGGCATGCTCTTTATTAGTTATGTTGGTAGATGACTACTTCAGCCTGTAAATACCATATTAAAATGATCATATATTGAAGGCTTCTCACTGAGAGGTTTGAATGTGAGCCCTTGCAGCCAGTGGTCTCCTGGTGTTATGAGTGAACTTTCCTGTTACATTTACAGAGTGCTTTTGTCCAGCACGTGTACGTACATTTCTTGTTCCACACATTCATTTTTATTTCAGTGTTACAGTTCACAAGAAATTGTGAAGGTTTCTGTAGGAGTCCTGCTAGAGAGACAGAGTACATAGAGTGCATCTGAGGGAAAGTTCTCCAGAACGAGAATTTGTGGCTTCCACTACACTTCTGCACAACAAAATATCCAGTAGTACTTGACCTGGAAGCAATGAATAAATGCTCTAGATTTTTCTGTTCAACAGCATGGGTTCTTTTAGGAAAGAGATATATTTATATATATGTGTGTAGATAGATATAGATATAGGAGCATATTAAAATAACTTAGTTATACAAATGTTGCAAGACCTGTGTGACACCAAGGGAATGTGCGTAGTCAGTCAGTGGAAGATCTGATTCAACCAACAAAAATGGATCACTGAATCTGGTTAGATTCAAAATCTTCAATTACAACCTCTCTTAGATGTGGAAGTGCTAAGATAAATGTTAACCACATATAGGATACTATAACAACCAGTAGAAACATGTGTTTTCTAACAATAGAAGTGACTGAGTGTGCTAAAAAAAAGGACAGAAGAACTGCAAGACTTTGGTTAAAGATTTTATTGTTTTGTTGTTATCCCGCTTGTGGTGCAGTGACTATGTACCTTCCACAGCCAGTCTGAACTTGTGGGTTCCCAAAAGCGATCGGCACAAGAAGCCGAAACCGTGCACTGAAGCATGTACCCTTAACAGACTCTGTGCTGAGATGCAGACTTTCCATACAGCTCAGTGGTTCCTAGAGGAGTTTCACCTCCAGCCTCTCACTGGATCTCTCTTTGCTGCCACCTCCTATCATGCCGGTGGTAAGCACAAGCTAGAAAGCCCACTGACCCTGCAGTGGGCCAGCTGGGTATCTTCGTCCCATGCTGCGCAGCTTTATTTGGTCTGGGAACGCTGGCACCGACTCCACAAAGGCCTGGCAGAGCTCATTTCCTTGGGTTTCATGTCGTGTCTCCTCTGCCACGGGTGGTCAAAACAGTTTTGCCCACATCTACTGTACACTTGTGTGGACTCTAGGAAAACAGTTGAATAAAATAGTGATCATCTTGTGGAATGAAATCCAAAGAAGCTTGTCAGGAAGGGTACGGGAAAAAGGGAGAACTTGTTCAGTTGTTGAGGCTTTGTTAATATTTGAAAGCTCTAGCAGTGGTTGGATAGCTTCTGAAGTGACAATGTCAAGAGACTAAAAACTGAACAGTTTTTTGTTTTAACAATACAGTTAACATTGTTGGCTTAAGGAACACCATGGTGAAAAGCTATCTTGTTTAAAAACGCTTCTGTCTTTGCCTAAGTTATATGACGTCTCAGGATGTCCCAAAAATGGCTCCAGTAAATTTAGGGGAGACGATACTTGGCAATGTTGAGATTGCTATTGTTAAAAGGTAGAAACCAAGAAGAATTTTTCTCCCTTAGTGTCTTATGAAATGAAAAAAACCCCAGAATTTCCAATAAATCATGAATCTTCCAAAGGGAAGAACCCTTTGTGGAAACTGAAAATGGAAACTGGCCAGTCTGAGTACACAAAGAGTACAGTATAGTGCTTTTCTAAAAGTATTTGTGAACTGTGAAAAGCAAGAAGGCCAGGCAGAAGGCCAGTAGAGATTATAGTTTCCGGTGCATATATTTCCTTCTTAAATTGCTTCTTTTTCTTCTCCACCATTTCTTGCAGATCTCTTTTGCCATGTCAGCTGACAGCCACCAGCTCCACACTCATTCCTACCAGGACTCACTAAGTTCTACTTGTCACAGTCTCTTGAATGTCAACAGTCACGCCCTGTCGAAGAGCTCCTCAAGTCTGGCCTGTGCTGGGCAATCGAGTTTAGAGGAAGGGCAAAGCAACAAACAGGAGCTGAAGAAAAGCCATAGTAGCACCATCTGCCATACCCTGGGAAACGAGAGTGATGCAAGGAACGTGCCGAGTCCTGGCTGGTCCTTCTCGCAACCTGGGATGATGGGACTCGGATCAGTGGTGCAAACCATAAGTGACCAGTCAGACAATGACAATTCACAGAGCAGAACTAAGGCTACAAACCATTTTCTTATCACTGAACCGTCCCCAGCATCCTGCGAAGTGGAGGACACCAGGATGTGTGTAAAGAGCAGCACAGCTGAGAATATTTCTTCAGCCTCCATTGTCCACCAGCAAAGCCTGTGTAAAATGGAAGAACCAGGAAATGCCCTTCAGAGAAGCCACTCAGACCTAACTTGCAGTTGCAAACAGCAGACTTATGTCACTCACATAGAAACCAGTGCTCCTCATTCCAGCCTAAGCTCTTCTAGCTGCAGGCATGGTCCACCAGTGGCTAGGATGTCTTTCCAAACAGAGAGGTATGGACCAGAAACAAATGAAAATACATCTCACTATCAAAACCTTGTGACTCATCTTCCAGTTCTACCTAGAGACCAAAAAGTACCCACAAATAGCTTTGACAGCAGTGGTATTCCACGTAACACTACTGTTTACACAGATCCTGGAACATTTCACACTGCTGTTCTAGGACCCCACATGCCTGGAAATGGTTTCTCAAACAGGACAATGTTCAGTCAAGCCACTGGGATTATTCATGGTGGTCTGACTTACGGTAACATTCCAAACGCTGCATACTCCCCCATGGTGATGACAGTTCATAACAATTCTGCAGGGCCCTGTAATGTAAGGCAGGACCCTTGTATGAAGGTAGATGCCACCGTCCCTGCCTATTGCCATTCTTTGCCCATACCATCTATACAACTTGTTCCGCGGTTGGTATGCTCAGTTAGTGAGTCGGGAAAAGAGCAGGCAGCACCTGGCTATTTTCATTCCTTTTCTACTTCAGACATTCTGACATATCCTAAGCTGGTGTCTTCAGTAAGTGAATCAGGCCTGGATGCCAAGAGAGTCCTGAAGTGCTGTAGCATTCCTGGAGAACAACTGCAACACGCTCAACACTGTGATCAGCAGGAGAGTGCTCCTCCAGAAACAAAGGCTGCCTGTGTTGCCTTCAGTAGCCAGCAAGGTGCAGGCGTGGTGATGACAACTAAGGACATGTGGACTATGACCTCTATGAATGATTTAACCAAAGGACTGAAACCAGCTCTTGAGCGTAGAGATGCCGAGGTACAAACTCTTCCAACCATGGAATGCAAATCTGTGGCAACAAGCCCAGCGGCTGCAGCAGAAGGCCACTCGCATGTGTTCCCAGAGGTAAACCTGGAGCAAGACTTGGAGGCCCCCAAATCTCCAGTACGTGAAGTGAGATGGGATGATGAAGGAATGACATGGGAAGTGTATGGGGCATCTGTGGATCCAGAAGTCCTTGGGTTAGCCATTCAAAAACATCTTGAGATTCAAATAGAACAATTCCAGACAGAGCCTGCTGAGCTGGCTGAGAAAAGTAATAAGGAGCCATCTTCTGATAAAATGGGGAAAAAAAGGCCATTCAGAACAATGATGCATTCCCTGAGATATCCGAGCTGTTGTGCTCGTTCCAGTACTGCAGTGGAGTGAGCACAGCTGTAGGACGTAGGACAGCTGTGCTGCTTTTAAATTGTAAATAAATGCTGACTCCTTAAGTGTTAACACAGTATGTGTGGACAATCTGCGTCAGGATAAGTGGGAAAAGTTCAGTAACCATCAAATACACATCAAAGCAAGGAAAAACCCGTAGATGGGCCATCTAACAGAGGACATAAGGTTGTACCTACATTATACCATCTGAGTGCTCTTGACTCTATTTAATGTAGCATTGTTTTATTCTTCCATGTTAGTTTTAAATCATATTGTAAGCAATGAAACCTTTTCTAAATTATGCATCTTTTTAAAAAAATGATCACTTTTTTCTGTATTTTAATAATTTAGGATTAGAAAACAAAGTTAGAAAATTATGCTTTAATCAAAGTTCTTAGCTTTCAATCCTACTCCCTTAAATTGTTAATTTATAATAATGCTGACTGCAAGCCCACCTAAACTGTAGACAAAATGACAAACTAGTGTAATGCTATATGATGAAGAATTGTAACTTTTGATACATAACTCTGTGAAGTAATTCTGGTATTTCTAGTCTGAACTCTTCCCTTTGCAAGCTGATGTACAGTTGGAGGATGCTCCTGCAACTTTCAAATTAGTTTGTAGTTATGATGAATTACACTCTAAATATCCAGAACTGATGTTTACCAAGTGATTGACACAAATGTACAATATTACCAAAGATGACTTATGTAATGTGAATTACTTACTGAATGCTTGTCTTAGAGACATGAAAAAAAAGCTGTTCAGATTAGTCTGTCACACTATCATGCCCTACAAATCATAAGCAGTTTTGTTTTGCTTATATTAAAAGTAATTTCCAGTGAGTTCTTTTTATGTGCATCTATCCTGAACAGTGGTTATTTTGTTGTTGCGTAAACCACAGGCAACAGTTTCCATGTAGCCTTTGCTTGTCTTGTGTCCCCTGTCTGGTCTGACATCAAGTGTCTGCTGAAAGTGAGACTTCATGTCTTCACCGAAGTACAGCTCTAAGGTTATTTGTTCCAAGTGCCTTGGTCATATGGGCAGCTTAAAGATGTTTTTTCTCCAAAAAACAACTTCACAAACAATTTCCCAGTGAGAAACCTTTTCTGATATTCTGATACTGTAATGCAGCCATAGTGCAGGGCCTGTTTAAAGCGAAAGGTTTGTCAAGGAAGCTGAGACTATTTTTTCCAGCGTCATATGTGGCCTTTGGTCAACGTCTAAGATTCTTCAGGAAACTAGGAACGTGCAGTATTTTTTGATGGAGAGAGAGGAGGAACGTTCATTTCTGTCTCAGAGGAAAACTTGCAATGTCAGAGAACTTACTGCTGTGGAATTACCCATTCTTTCTTTAAAAGTGTGTGGTTGTGCTTTTGTTGTTTTGGTTTGGGTTTAGTTCCAGTAAGTTAGCAGGCTGTCTACATAATGTTCACCTGACATTTGTATATGAACAGGAGCCTCTGGTGCTTAGGACAGCTTTAAAATTTCATCTACAAAGTTCTTCAATATAGGACCTGCTAGCTGGAATGTGCCATGATGCATTAATTTAATAACATAGAGTAATTCAAGATCAAATTTTCATTCCTGGACAAAGTGGAATTAAACAGAGCTGGCTCCTGTCAAACTTGCTTTGAGTTCAGGAGGCTTCATTTAGGCCCTGTGACTTTGGCCTCGATAATGTCTGAACTCAAAATGAGTTTTATACGAACCAAGTCTGAGACTACTGGAATATGATGCCTTACTCAGAATGCCTCTATAGCTATGAACATCCAAGTTTCGATAATGATCCTAGATGTTAAAGTTCCTTTTATTACAGCTTTACTAGAAGTAAAGAAGTAATGAGTAACTAAAAGTCACTTCTGCTGTTACTTAGTGTTTAGCTAAAGAGTTTCTATATGGGTTTATTTTGTGGTCTGGAGTATCATAAGTAGTACCAAATGTTGATTTATTCCATTCTTCAAATACTACACTTTGAGAATTTTAAGCACTATAATGGCCTAAAACCTTGCGTTGTCTGTTAGCTTGTCCTCAGGCGTGCAGGAGAACTAAAGATTTGAACAGTCAAACTAAAGCTTTAAAATAGCAAGTGTACCTTGTTCCTGTGACCATCATAATCCATACTTTTAAGCTATTTGACATGTGGAATAATCTTGATTCTCCTTCCCATCCCCAGCATTCTAAGCACCCCCACAAAATAAAGCCTGCAAATCTAGGAAGATGATAAAATAGGACCAGTATCAAACTGGTCAGAAAGAGATAGTTTGCAGAAGGGACTGGAACAATATGGCAAAGACCCTTGAGTGCTTTGGCTGGTATATACTATAAAAGCTGAAACAACTCTTAGATTTCATACAACTCTGGTGTGAATTATCTATGGTTTATGCATTGGTATGGATTTGCTATTACAGTACTAAACGCTGATTATCATTCCTGGATGAGAAAAAGAAATGATAAGCAAGGGGAAAGGACACCAATGATTTGCTAATCAAGAAAAACAGATGCTTGCTCGTTACAGGCATCGTGAGTCTTTAGGATACTGATTGGAGTCACTGTTGGTAACAAAAATAGCGTTTGTGTTTGAGGATTTCCTATGCTTTTGGAAAGGATTAAAATACGAGGTCTATTAATGAAGATCTGGGAAACAAACACTCATCTGAATATTAGCTACATGGATAAAATAAGTTGTTTCACTTGTATGATGGATGCCTCTTAAAAAAAAAGGGAATTTGAATTCACTTTGCATTTGGGTTCAATTTAAATTTAAATGCAGTCAGGTTAGTATGTTAAGTATTCTTCATATTAATGCGCTTTTCAAGTGTTACTCTTGTAAATGTGAGAACTCATATCTCTGTTTTTTAATGTTTTCTAACTTAGGAAAATCCAAATCCATTACATTCTACTTTTAGATATAAATTAAGTAGAAGGAAAACTTACAGTAGATTTTTAACTGAGCGGGCCAATGCTGAACACAGATGCTTGTCAAGCTAGGGTGAGATCAGGGCGTATTATTTTCTTGAGCTCATTTGAAAACCAGTTTGCATTGCATCATGTTGCCTCTGCTTCCCAGCCTGAATGCTCAAGTACCATTTACAGCTGATCCAGTTGGGGTTGCCTTTCACACAAATCCTCAGCAAGGGCTGCACTGGCATGCTGGGAGCTTAACACTTTTGCCTCAGTCCTCCTTCTTTCCCTTAAAATATGGGACCAGCCACCTGGTAACTGCAGTATTTTGGATATGTTATGTCATCCCTAGGCACTAGCTAATGTCTCTAGAAGGACTGAACTGTACATGATACTAGATGGCTATAGGATTGATAAATGGGCTGAGCTGCTTACGTCAGTGGTTCAGCACAGATTGAAGGGAATTGATACTAATATCGGTATGCTGATGAAATAGCTCTGAAAAAGAGTTATAATAATTCACTTCACTCTGAATTATTATCTTGCTCTAGTAACAAAGGAGATGTATCACCATATTTACTGTTACCTTTCCTGGAGTAGAGGCCAAACCCTGTCAGACATTTGACACTGACTGACTTTATTATCATTATAATCGTTGTGTGTATATATATCTATCTCAATATATCATTATATTATCATTTGTAATTTGAGATAATCTTTGACTGCGGGGTTAAATATTGAAATAGAGGATATTGTCTCAGTTTTAAATAAAAACCTTCCATATTTAAGTCAATTCTTTTAAAAAAAAAAAACAACTAAAAGGTTGCTTAGTCCATGTCATATCAGTTAGTTTTAAAATCATTGTATTTATTTGTTTGGTCTTCTCCTGAAAATGGCAATTTGTTCTGAGAAACGGCTTTCTAGCGTTGTGTTTGTGACAGGTTGCTTAATGGCTGGGGATGGGGTGGGAGGGCCACCTAACCAAATTCACTCCAGACCCAGTAACCCAGGTGCCCCTGTAACAAACTTCCCAGCAATTCCCGCTGCCCCCAGGGCGATGCGGAGACGGCAGCAGGGATGGGGGTGTGCAGCCGAGGGGCTCTCTGAAGCGGGCAGCCCCCTGACAGGGGTGCTGCGGGCTCCGTCTCAGCCCCGGTTCAGTCTGCGGTGTCTGCAGACCACTTGCCTTTGGCCTTGTGCTGCTGGAAGAGACCTTTTAGTTGCTACAGCCTTGATCCTGAGCTAAGGATGGCCACGGATCTCCCCCTTCATGCACGAGTTTTGCTGTAGGAACCCCTGCTCTAGAGTAAGCATATCTTCCTGCCAGACGTAGCTTAAGAAATTCTGTGTTGTACAGCTGAGCCACAAGGCCCCACGGAGCGACACTGCTCTGTGCCCGTGGTCCCCTGAGACAGGAGTGAGTGGGGAGGAAAATGCAATCGGCTGCTCTGTACCCAACTGCAACCAAAGATGTTTCAGGGAAAAAAGCATCTCCACCGTACAGACAGGGGAATGTGTTTCTAACTGATCACTTCTCTGCTTATAGCCCAGTAAGAAATAATGGCAGGCTGGACTAATTGCATTATTGGATAGACATTTAGTCTTTTAAATCCAAAGCAGTAACGACCTGTCTGGAGATGTGCTGAGCTAAGAGACCTTCTGGAAGAATGTTACTGCCTGTTAAAGATGGAATAAGAAAAACCATGTAGCTTTGCTTAGGAAAAGTGATGTGTGGTAAGGTTGGGATAAAGCACAATCCTGGAGCGGAGATGAGACCTAGGAACCCCAGCTCCAAACAGGGAGCAGGGCCAGGTACCCTCCAGACACTGCTATAGCCCCCTTTCTCAGGAGCTTTTCCAACTGTGAAATTGCAATGTTAATGCTTCGTTACCATCTGTTCCTTTCAGACATGTTGAGGTGATTAATTTGTCGTCTTAAACCCCTTGAAAATGAAAGCAGTCTATTAGTGCTAAGTAATACTGTTAATAGGCAAGAGAGAAAGAGGCAGCATGTGGGTTTATGAGTTGGAAGTAAATAATTCTAATCAACTCCCACAGTACTAATTAAATCACTTGATGGGACTTGCTGCATCAGTC